CTATGGGTCATGTGCCCGGCCTGCTATGGGGCTCACAGGGGCGTGTTTCTGTTGAGCTATGGGTCATGTGCCCGGTCAGTTCTGGGGCCTGAGCACGGTCAGCTATGGGGCTCACTGGGGCATGAGCCTGGTCAGCTATGGGTCATCTTCCCGGTGAGTTTTGGAGCCAACTGGGGCGTAAACCCGGTGAGTTTTAGGGCTCACTGGGGCATGTTCCCAGTGATTGCTGGGTCATGTTCCCGGTGAGCCATTTAAACTTTTTCAAAGTCCGAGCCATCCACGCCCCCACACGTTCAAATTTTGGAATACTTGCATTTAAAATCGGCACGTTTGCTTTGCTGGATCCATTTGAGGTTTTCTGAATTGCAGTGGGAGAGTTTCAGCAGATATGGGGAGTCAATGGGTGGGGTTATAGCAGGTTTGGGCTTTATATGCAGGTATTCCCATACTCTAAATTTTAAACAGTCCTATAGTTAATTTACCTCTAATGGAACAATAATCCTGGCAGGTGACACGGTCAACATTAGAGTCCGTACCAACAAATGTGTCAAAATGCAAGAACATTCGGGGTTTATATGCAGGGATTCCCATACTTTAAGTTTTAAACAGTCCTATGGTTAATTTAACTCTAATGGAAAATAATCCTGGCTGGTGGCATGGAATTTTGTGATTTTGTGTTGTTTGGTCTTCCTGCCTCACGACGACAGATGTAAACTAGCAACTATGCTAGAATCTGGCTCATTTACAATCTGTATGAGATTGTTCATTAAAGTGCACTGTCCTGATTAAATAAATAAATAAACAAACATCAGAGTCCGTACCAACAAACGTGTCAAAATGCAAGAACCTTCAAACATGGACTAAAACCATGTAGTCTGTATTTTTTGGAGCAACTAAAATCTGATGCCTGAGACCTTTGTTCTGGTCAGATGGAGGCCATGGAGGTGGACTTCCCCGTGGAGGGAGGTGGTGGCGGGCGGCTGGAGGAGGTAGTTCCGGTGGCGGGTCCAGCCGGAGATCCCTCCCGCCCGCAGGGTTTCTCAGACTCTGGCAGCAGCACCGAAGTGGACGAGGACGAAAACGAAAACGACGAGGGGCCTCTCAGGCTCCCGGCCACGTGGGCGTTCAGCCAGAGGGTGGTGGACAGAGCCTCAGCTCCACCTTCGGCCGCTCCAGGGACGCACACTCGGAGGAGACTCAGGTATCCATATGTTATAGGGGTGGGACGGTTCACAAAATCCAGGGTTTGGTTCGATTCGCGGTTTCGTGGTCACGGTTTTGGGTTTGGTTCGGTATATGTTGATTGTTAGGAAAATCTATTATGTCTTGTATAGTCAGGTTAAAACTGAAAGAAAAAAGCAGTCTGACATTTGATACATCATTGTGACAGTCTTAGGTTAAAAGTAGGTGAGATTCTGGCATTGCAAGAGAGGAAACGGTGCTAATTCCAACATGTGCTTCCCTCTAAATGCAAAGTGGTCCCATACAGCAGACCTATAAACTGCTGTTGGCGCGTTGGATTTTTATCGGCTACGCTGCTTCGCTTCTTCTTCTTGTTTCCTACTGGTGGCTGGCTTTGGGCGCAGTAGCACCACCTTCTGGTCAGGAGTGAACAGGCTTCCCCATGAGAAAAAGGAGCAGCATGAACCGAACGCAACACACGCAAACCGAACCGAACGGTTCGGACGGTTTTCAGAAACCGTCCCATCCCTAATATGTTAGGTTCAAAACACTTGAATTCGTCAAAAGTGGAAAACCCGAATGAACGACACAGACTCTGAAGTATAAGCTTTTTGCAAAGAGGGAAGAGCTGATGCAGCCTATCGCCAGCACTGCATCCGAAACACTCTTCGACTTTTGCTTTCCCCTCTTGGCTTTTTATTAGACATAAAAGAAGGCATAATACCAAAGGCATATCTTATCTTTGGACTTTTTGCAGAAAGGAGTGTCATATCTCACATCCTCAGTGGAGCAAGCACAGCTACGCGTTGTTCTCCTTTTTTTATGTTCATCCTAAACTTATGAGCTTCCGTGAAGTTAGAAAAGAGTAAATGGAAAAATCATGCACATCGTTTGTTAAAGGTTAGCAGGTAAAAATATTTACAGCATTTAAAGGTAAAGGCATTTTTCCATACAGTTTTATATTACTCAGGTATCCATACTTGCTCTACATATTTCTCCCCGCGTGTGTGTTTTGCGATTAATGTCTTTTTGGGGGGTTTTTTGTCTAATTTTTTTGGTCGTTGTGTTTTTCTGATATAATTTTGCCTCTCTGTTTTCATTGTGTGTCTCTTCATGGTTCTTTTGTGTCTCTCTTTGGTGTTTTTCTGACTTTTTGTGTCTTTGTGTCTTTTTTTTCTGGTAGTTTTATGTCTGATTAGTAACTTTTGGGTTTTTTTTGGGTCTATATGTATCTTTCTGATACAATTTTCCCTTTTTGTGTTGAATCTTCATGGTCCCTTTGTGTCTTTCTTTGATGGTTTTTGTACTTTTTGTGAGTTTATTGTGTCTTTTTCTGGGAGCATCTGGGAGTGTATTTGTCCTGTCTGAGATTTTTGAGATTTTCAGTAAAGACGGGGCAAACACACTATGGTTTATGGTTTATATATCCTGATACTTTACTTGCTGTATGATTGTTCATGAACTTAGCAAAATGTTGTTAAATATTATTGTTACTCATCAATATGAAGTCGTTTTTTTCCTGTTTTCTACCTTAACACGCGTAGACTCGTTCATTCCGTCTGACTGAGAGCTTATTTGCATTAATCTCAACAAAGAAATGGTCACCATTTAAAGAACGGACATTTTAGCCACTGCAAACGGTGTCTATCTGGGGTGCTGAGGCTGTGTTTGTGCTGCAGGCAGGGTCTGCGGGTGCACTACCCCAGCCAGTCTACAGCCCCCTCCAGAGGCTTCCCAGACTTCCTGCTCCGAGCTCCGGCCGCCGCCGTCCCCGAACCCGAGTCCGGCAGCACCACCGAGGTCAGCGACTCTGAGGACGAGGGGGGGGGGAGAGAGGGGATTCCTGCTGTTGCTCAGCCCACCGAGCCCGTCCCAACTGCCGGTCCTCTGCAGGACCCACCCCCAGAACCACAGGCCGCCACTTCAACCAGTAGGTCTACTCCCCTCTGACCATTTTTTTATTTTTATTATTTTTTTTCAATATATTTATAGATTTTTTTGCATTGCATAACAATTAAAAATAGAACATTAACACATAACACCCCCCCCCCACACGCACACAGACCTAGGCTAAACCTGCAAATTCCACCTATATACAACTTAGCTTAAGAAATATATACATTTGAAATCAAGTACTCCAATGTAATAAGGATCCCGCTTAAAAATATAATGAAAAACAAATAAATAAAACATAAAAAAATACAGAACAACTTAGGATAAATAAACATTATATCTCAGACTCTATAATGCTCATATATGGTTGCAAGAGATTTTGAAACTCTTTTTGTTTTCCCTTAGCAATATATGTTAGTCTTTCCAGTCCAAGGCACTTGGAAAGCTCCTTTACCCAATGTTTCATTGAAGGAGCCTCTACACTTTTCCAATTAAGTGCAATCACCCTCCTGGCTTCTAGAAGTCCAAAGTCCACCAATCTAGTCTTTCTGTGCATTTGTATAAAGTTCAATGGATAGATCCCACATTTTTTCTTTTGAGAAATTGTGGCTTTATAATGAAATATATTGCATTTGAACTGTGAGTTTTCTTTACTTCCTCACCATCAGACTCTGGTTCACCTTCAGACGGCGACAGGACAGAAGTTCAAAATCAGCATAATCAGGTAATTTCGAAAACCTCCTCAGAGTTCAACAATTCCCACAAAGAGCAGCACTAGGAGACACAGGGAAGGAAAAACCTGGCAGCACTTTGTGTTGCTGTGGCACTGCTGGTCAGGTTCATTATACAATTTTTTTAAACAAATAGAACAAAAAGAACCATTACACTTCTTTAGATTGAGTGGTGACGTATAAAAAAAAAATGCTTGCCACATGGTCACATTTCTGTGTCTCTAAAACAGGAAATGCCAGCAATTTGGATTCTGGGTTTTAAGACTGTAATGCCAAATGTATCATATTTGATACATGCGGTTTCTGAAATGTTTTGCGTCTGACACCTTTTGCATAATTTAATGGAAAAAACTTTGCTCAAAATCCTATTGCACACAATCAGATACACCTGATAACAGGGTGCAGAAGACTACACAAAAAATAATCTTGACTTATCGCGTAGTAATAAATGATTAATATAAAAAATGTATTTCTGTTTTTTCTTTTTCCGTATTTTGTTAAAAGGGCACATAAGGAATTCAAACAAAAAAAAAAAAGCAAATTTCTGTTTTGTTTTATTCTTGGATCGGGCTTTAATGGGTTAAGACTGTTAAGCTATTTCTGTTTATGACATTTACACATAATATTCCAGGGGGAAAAAAGTGATTTTGTTCATATCGTGATATAAAATTGAAATCGAAAATTTCACGGAAATAAAATCGAAATATTCTGGTATTCAGCCGCCGCACTCTGAGGACTCGGAGGGCGACGCGTGCAGCATCTGCTTCGAGGCGTGGACGACGGCGGGCGAGCACCGGCTGTCCGCGCTGCGCTGCGGACACCTGTTCGGATTCACCTGCATCCAGCGCTGGCTCAAGGCTCAGGGGTCGGCGGGGAAATGTCCACAGGTCAGTCAGGCTGGTGTTATGGTCAGAAAATCCATGTTATGGTCAGAAAATCCACTCAGATGGGCCGCAGCCGTAGCCTAATGGCTACAGCGGGCGGCCCATATGCGGAGCCTCTGCTCGCAAGCGGGCGGCCTGGGTTCGAATCCGGCCCATGGCCCTTTCCCTCTCTATCTCTGCCCCCCTTCCTGTCCAGCTACTGTCATTAAAGGCCACTAGAGCCAACAAAATCTTTAAAAAAAAAAGAAAAAGAAAAAAAATAAGAAAATCCACTCAGATGTTAGTCATGTTGCTATTTTTAATATAAGGGAATGTAATTTAGAATATAGGAATTTATATATTTAGATTTTTGCTATTTATGGTTCTTGTGTTTTAATAAAATAAATGTTTACTGTAAGTTTGGAGTAATTTAAGCATCATTTAGATTTAGGACTTTTCATTTGTTTGCGTGCGTAAAAGAAGAGGCATCCTCAGAACTGACCCTAGACGGACCTGAGAAGCCCGGGTGTATATCGTTTTTTGACCATGCTCGCTGTGTAATTAGGAAACAAGGACATTGTATTTGAAACCCTTTTTTTGTTAAACCTTTTTTATTAGATAAAGAATTTTTGTTTATGAAGAACCCAGCTTGCTGGCGCTTCACGAATGACACAGATATTGGATCTGCTGCTACAATAGTCGATGTGTGTGTAGCTTTGGGTACTTGTATGTGTACAATGTGAATTGTGAGAACAAACCTTTTGTCCTCAGCTTTGGGTACTTGTAAATTCAAAAAGCGTCTTACACATAGGGCTGGGCGATTCTTCGATTTTATTCTCAATGTAAAATTTCTCTATGATTATAAATGAGACGTTCGATAAGCCGACGCCTTATTACATTTGTAATATTCCAGGGAAAAAAAGTGATTTTGTTCATATCGTGATATAAAATCGAAAATTTTAGGGAAATAAAATCGAAATATAACTTTTTCTCATATCGCCCAGCCCTACTTACACATACGGATCATTGAATCACCCCATTAGTGCACAGATCCGTTGTGTTGAGAGTCTTGGTGCCATTTCATGGTTCAGGAGCCTTTAAGTTTTGTGTGTACTTTTATACATTTAACCAGGGTTGGGTAACGGGGTCGTCTGATTTTTCTTTAGAGACTAGTGTTACTCTCTCTGTGAGTCCAGGCTTTATATTTATTGTCTTTATTTTTAGTGCAACAAGAAAGCAAAGCGGACCGACATCGTGCTGCTGTACGCTCCGAAGCTGAGAGCCCTGGACAACTCTGAGCAGGAGAGCCTGAAGAAGTGAGTCCTGTCTCCGTTTCCCAGCCGACGAATGAGCTGTGATCAGCCCACGAGAGGAAACTTAGCCAATTCTTTTAGCCGTTATTTAGAATGTTACATGTCCCAAACGTAGCTTTCCCAGGAGCCACAAACTAAACCTTTTTGTTTCTTCCAGTTGTAAGATTTTCCAATCATGTCTCTGATGTCTGTGTGTAGATCTCTGGAACAGGAGCAGTCTCTGAGGAGAAAGGCTGAACTGGAGTCGGCCCAGTACAAGCTCAAACTGCAGGTGGTCACCAACCAGTACGGACAGGCCCAGCAGGAGCTTCAGGTACCTGTGACACTCGTTTTAAAAAATGGTGAACAGGTCAGAGGAACAGTGGAGGTATTAAAGGAGCTGAATGTGGAAGGGACGGGCTTTGTGGGGAACATGTCCCCCCTGACCAGAGAGTAAGACTATATTGCCATGAAGCAATTACCATTTTCTTGCCCGGGAACTTCCTATTGGTGACCTAATCAAAATGGCCGACTTGGATGTGGGTGGAATTGGATATCCATCCGCGTGCGCAAGGGTGGTATCGATACTTTTGCAAATGAGTATCGTATCCGGATACAAAGTTTTAGTGTTGATACTTTTGACAACCCTAATCAGGTCACATTAGATTAAAAAAGAGTCTAGAAGTATGTGATGCTCCTAAACGATGTATGGAGTCACCATAAATGACACAGGGATGTATCTCGACTGTAACGCGTCCTGTTTGTGTTCAGGAGCTGAAGGCCTTGATGGCTCACACCAGCAGGAGCTGTGCCCCCTCCTCCTCCTCCACTTCCCCCCTCCTCAGTCTGTCTCAGCGGGCCGACGGCTCCAAAAAGGCCGGCTACAGCTTCTCTAAGGCCCTGCTGGTGTCTCAGGCGGGTGGCTGCCGGGTTTTGTCCTACTGTGAACCTCTGAGCTGCCTGCTGGCCTCTCAGCCTTCTCCCCACTCCACACTGGTGCCCGGTGAGACGCCGTCCACGCTCTTATTGGGATTATGAAGCTTACTTTTGTACCTAAAAAAAATATGTATATATGTACAGACATGTATATATGCATATGCCGCTGTTTTATTTATGGAGCCAGTAACAAAAATAATTTCCCTCTGGGATTATTAAAGTATTTCTAATTCTGATTTTTAAAAAAAAGAGCACCTTCTGGGATAAATATTTAACATTTGTGGCAAGACACTTTGTAATCTTATTGGTACAACCGTTTTTTATCTGGTTGACTTTTTTTGTCAGGACCAATCCTGTTTTCTTTTGTGATTTAGCTCAGAAATACTAATGTGAAGGAATAAGAAAATCCATCAATTGAACATGAGTGAATTATATCCAACCTCATGAGTACTAGATGCTGCCTCTTGCCATTTGGAGTATATGTATATTTTTAGTTTATTAGTTAATATGAATATTTTTTTCCTTTATCTGACTATATTTTTAAGAAGAGAATTCCAATGACAGTACAATGACAGTACATGACAGTAAAATGTGTCCTGGGGATTTTTTTCTCTTTTGGTTCTTTGATTAGAGTACCTGGTTGTTGATTCCTTTAGGGAGAGTCGTCTCACATGTCTGGCGACTGTGGTTTTAGCACCAGTAGGAAATGCAACAATTTCCTTAATCCCATCCAGGATGAATCTCCCATTCCTGTGTTTATCATTGAAATTGTTTGACTTGCCCTTTGTGCCATCCTCACACCTGAGAAGATTCTCCTTTTGATCAATCCACACTCCTGAGAATAAACATAGTCTTGTCCTTTTGGAGATTCTCCATGGGACTTCCTTGAGGACTGAAATGTAAATCAGAATCTCTTTGTTTGTTGCTCAGAAGAAACACAGTGGCCTTTTCCTTTCCTTTATCCATACTAAGTTATAAAAGGGGACGTTTACTCTGTGATCTGCGTCCTCGAACGCTCTTGCTTTCGAATAAATCTCTGTATTGGACAAAATCGATCTTCTCTAATAATTAACGAACTTTGCCTCACTCATTTAAAGAACTTTTTTCCATAACAATTGTCAGATGTTTTTCTCTGTTTTTTAGATGCAGTGTTTTGATGCCACGGTCTGTTTTCCAGGTTGTGGGGTGAAGAAGGTGAGCGTGGTGAACATGAAAGCAAGTCAGTACGTTCCCATCCACAGCAAGCAGATCCGAGGCCTGAGCTTCAACAGGCAGAACGACAGCCTGCTGCTGTCCGCCGCGCTGGACGGCACCATTAAACTGACCAGGTACAAAGGGGCCACACACCTGGAGACCATTGTTTTTGCCTCAGCACCCAGATCTGGCCCCTGTCCCTAGAAATATTTTCTCAAAAGTTTTTGTGCTCCGCTTTGGGGTAGGTTAATTAAAGAGGGCTAATGGTGTTAATGCAGTGTAACAGTCAAACAATAATGTGGAAAATGGTTCATTAAAGGGGACATATTATGCAAAACCAAGTTTTTAATCATTTGATTCTGTACATTTGGGACTGTGGAGGGGCCTATCAGCAGGCAAAGTGTGAAAAAAAATGACGTAGCCATGTTTTTGTGGGCCGCTTCAGTCTGAATCCAGGAGATAAATCGGGAGGTTTCAGGAGTGGGTAGTTTCTGACGTCATTAGCTCTAGCTCATTATAATATTCCAGCCTTTCACCTGCATGTTGCCCTCCCCCTCAGCTTACTCCCCCATCTGTGGCGGACGTCGTGGTAGCTTGAGCGTTAGCATGGTAGCGTTAGCATGGTAGCGTTAGCATGGTAGCGTTAGCATGGTAGCGTTAGCATGGTAGCGTTAGCGTGCCGACGTGGGCACACCTCCCTGAAGAAGTGGGTGGATTGCCTGTGTCTCATTTGCATTTAAAGAGACAGGCACTCCAAAGCGAGCGCTCTGAACGGGGCTGTTTTGGGTTAGGGTTAGGGTTAGGGTTAGGGTTAGGGTTAGGCAGGGGGACTGAACTGCTATTTGGCTTCATCCTTATGGGATTTTGACCAAAGCTTGTCACAGACATTACATTAGGACACCAGGGAACTAGTTTAACTTGTTGAAATGGGGTATAATATGACTCCTTTAAATAAATGACAGGTTTGCATCTTAGATGTCCCACAGGTTTTTACAAAGCAGTTCATTTAGTCCAAATTGTGAGCAGCCTGGACAAACTGTTTAGCCTCCAGCCCGACGGGCTCTCTGACTCTGACTGAGACGGGTTTTTGTTTGGCAGCCTGCTGACCAACACAGTGGTCCAGACCTACAACGCCGGTAAACCCGTGTGGAGCTGCTGCTGGTGTCTGGACAACAGCAACTACGTGTACGCCGGTCTGAGTAACGGCTCGGTGCTCATCTACGACACCAGAGACACCAGCACACACGTCCAGGAGCTGCAGCCGCTGCGCTCCAGGTAAACACACACACACACTCACATAGACACACACTCACACACACACACACACACACACACACACACACACACACACACA